ATTATAATATAAAAAAATTAATTTAATTAATTTATAAATAGATATTTTTAAATATTATAATTAATTATTTTAACAAATTTTATAAATTAATAATTTTAACAAAATCCTTAATAATAATAATCTTAACCCACTTAAAAATAAATAAATAAATTAATTAAAAAATTTGTGTGCCATCAACAATTTGTTGGGCCCACTAGACCACTTCGGATATTATGCGTTTAGTATATTTTCCAACTTAATATCCGATTTTAAGGGACACTTTTATCCATCTTTTCACAAATAGAGTCACACCACGTGGCAGAGAATTCCCAAGCTGATTAAGACTAGACCAGGTGCACCAAGTTTCCGTGCAACTCACACAGAAATGAAAAGGAATCAATATTAGCCCCTGATTTAAGTCGGTTCTTGCAGTCAAGCCGCTCCACTAACTTTTATGACAACCCCTAAAAGGAACTATTTAAGCCCTTATGCTACATGACTCACGAGTTTAGAAGAAATGTTTCTACCCCTTTTGAGAGGTAAATTCAAAATTTAAAATTTAGAAGCTAAAATTATAAATTCATAACTTTGGTTGGAGATTTTATTGTTAAAACTATGGAATTTGATAAATTTTTTACATTTTTAAACACCTCTTATCATCAAATCCAACTTGAGTCATCCCTCATTTTTCATATTTTTAGTTTAAATGTTTTATCCTTCAACTAACTTACATACATCTAAAAACAAATTTCTTCTGAATAATTTTTGGAGCACATCCTTATAATAAATTGATGCATTGAAGAAAATAAAATTTTCTTAAGTGTTGATCCCAAGACTTGGATCACAAACCTACTCTATAATAGCACTTGCTTTGCTTAGTACTAGTATTACAAAATTTAGTTTAAGGGGATCAATTGTCACCAAAGTTAGTAAGGGGGACTTTATTGCACAACTTGACTTAGTTCAAGGCTAAGTTTTGGGTTGTTCAAGGAACAGAATCCAGTGAAATGCCAAGCAAAGGAAAATCTTAAAGGCCACAAAAACTTGTGGCTGAGAATTAAACTATTGTGCTGACGTGGCGCCCACCTCTCATTTAAACGGATCAAAAACATAAACCATGGAGCAGCCTTCAATGCCAACAAAGACTGAAGCAAGAACTTGAAAGAAAAAAAAAAAAAGCCCTGCGAATTTTCTCGCGCGTTTTTTTTTCTCTTCCTGTTTGGTGACCCAGAAAATGCAAGAAACCAGTAAGGACCCTGCGATCAAGCTCTTTGGGAAGAAAATCCATCTTCCGGCAGACGGCGAGATTCAGACGATATCCGACGATGACTTGGAGAAGAACAGATGTTGCGGAGATGGAGAGGGGGAAGACGACAAAGAGAAAGCAGATAAGGTACAGTCTTTTTCAGTTCCTGTGAATAAGGGGGATTGAGGTTTTTTTGGGGATTTTGAGATTACCCATTTGTTGATTCAGTGAGAATTTCGATGGGTCGATTTAAAAATTGAATTTTTTTTCGCAATCTGCGGTGACTGGTATTGGTTTGCTAACACCATCAGTTTTTTCTGTTTTAGATTTTACTTTTTATTTTCTATTAAATTTTCAAAATTTTGAAATCTGAATTTATTTCTGGGAGGTTTCAAAATTGGGTTCTCAAGTTCGATTGGAAGAGAAGAAGTTTTTGATTCCCTATTTCAAGTTTGGTTTTAGTGTTTGGAACTTGGATGGTAGACAGGGAGGAGAATTATATTATTTTTTATGATGGTTTTTCTATTTTAGAAAAAAATATATATCTCCACTGAATGTTTCAGTTGGGAATACTAAAAGTCTTAATCTGGGAAAATTTCTCAAAATTACTAATGTTTTTTAATTAGATATATCTTTCAAAAAGTGTTGCTCTATCCTGATTTAGATCCAAATTCTTTCCTTTGGGAAACAGATTGATTCATTTCTTCAACTCTTTAGGATGAAAATTCCCTTCTAAATTTTCAAATTGATTAGTAAGAGAACCAAAGATTTTTCTCAGAGATGTAGTCTCTGAAATCAAAATCATGGGTTGAGCTTAAAATCTTTTTTTTTTTTTTTTTGAAAAAAAAATTTCTAGGTGTTTAGCTAATAATTTTGCCTGGTTTTTTGAAGTCCTCTTTGTGCCAGATGTCTGTTTTTCCTTTTCCTTCATACTTTTGTCAGAAAGCTTTGATATGTGCTTGAAAGCCAATCAGTAGCTTCCAGATTTCTGAACAAGAGATCCTTTATTCGGCCAAAAAGAAGAACAAGAGACCCTTTAGGTTTAAGGGATGTACTTTCTTCACCATTTATTTCCATCTCAATTATATCATTCGAATATGGATTTTTTCTTGGGGCTTTCTGGTCCTTCCAAACAAACTTTGTTACAGGGAATGTCCACTACTGAGAAATTTAATATTTGTTATTCCTGCCATTATCAGGTTCTCTAAATCTTTTGAGAGAAAATGTTTTAATCCTCTGTAGCAGGGCATCTTAATTGTCCAATTCTCTAGAAACTTCTATTTAATATTTGATCTTAAATCTAGCCTTAAATTTGTGAACAAAATCTCATTTAATAAAAATACAACTAAAATAACAGAGGAAACCATTATTTTGTCTTTATTTTTCTTTGTTAGAAATTTCCTTGTTTTGTTTTGGTGATATAGGCTCATGCAGAAAAAGGTTTGTTTAATAAGATGTGTAAGTTTGAAATTACTAAGAAACCCTGTTAAATTTTCAGGATTCTTCAGAAGAAAAAGCTACTGAGGCTGAACAAGAAGATAAGACTGTCCATCCAAATACAGAGGAATCCTTGAATCCTGAAGTGTCTTCGGAGACTACTGTGAACCCCCAAACTCCTTCTATTGATGAGGAAACTGGAAAACCAAAGACTGGCAAGACTGACAAAGAACAAAGTAGTTCCAACAACTCACAAGAGAAAACAGTGAAGAAGCCAGATAAAATACTTCCATGCCCCCGGTGCAATAGCATGGATACAAAATTCTGCTACTATAACAATTACAATGTTAATCAACCCCGGCATTTTTGCAAGGCCTGCCAAAGGTACTGGACTGCAGGTGGTACCATGAGGAATGTCCCAGTTGGTGCTGGTCGTCGCAAGAACAAGAATTCTGCCTCACACTATCGTCATATCTCCATCTCTGAGGCTCTTCAAGCTGCTAGAATTGATTCTCCCAATGGGTTACATCATCCTGCATTGAAAAGCAATGGGAAAGTGCTTAGCTTTGGCTTAGATTCTCCCATTTGTGATTCCATGGCTTCTGTATTAAACCTTGGGGAGAAGAAGGTTTTGAATGGTACCCGAAATGGGTTTCACTGTCTTGAAGAGCAAAGAATTCCTATATTAAGCAGGGCTGGAGAAAATGGTGACGATTGTTCGAGTGCATCCTCTGTCACTGTATCCAATTCAATGGAGGAAGGAGGTAGAAACTGCATGCCAGAACCAGTGCTGGGGAACATTAATGGCTTCCCTTCCCCAATTCCATGTCTCCCTGGGGTTCCTTGGCCTTATCCATGGAATTCTGCAGTACCCCAACCAGCCTTTTGTCCATCAGGATTTCCTATGCCGTTCTATCCAGCAGCTTATTGGAACTGTGGCATCCCAGGTGCTTGGAATGTTCCCTTGTTGTCTCTTCAATCATCTGCTTATCCAAACCAGAAATCTCCCACGTCCGGGCCAAATTCCTCTACACTAGGGAAGCACTCCAGGGAAGGAGATACACAGAAACCAGATGATTTGGAGAGAGAAAAACCATCAAAGCAGAAAAATGGATCTGTTCTGGTTCCAAAAACATTAAGGATTGATGATCCTAGTGAAGCTGCAAAAAGTTCCATATGGGCAACGCTCGGTATTAAAAATGAGACACGTAGTGCGGGAGGGCTATTCAAGGCCTTCCAGCCGAAGAGTGATGAAAAGAGTCATGTAGCTGAAACATCTCCAGTATTGCGAGCGAACCCTGCTGCCTTGTCTAGATCCCTCAACTTCCACGAGAGCTCTTAAGCCTGCATCTTGCTAGATGCTTGAAGTAGGTATGAAAAACACTAGCTCACTAAAGACAAATTAGACACCTAATTGAGATGAACACAGAAAAAGGAAAAGTTCAGGGACGAAAGGGAGGAGGTGGTTTGGCAGTAGGGTGAGATCTTTAGTTCTTGGTGAAATGAAGGAAGCTCAGAAGAAACTACTAGTTCTGTTCTTGTAAACAGTGAGAAGAGTTGCCTTTTCATTTACTTAGTTTGCTGACTTTTGTATGATGTACATATCTCTATATATGTGAAATGCTTAGACAGTTTGAGAAAAAAATCTTAGATGCACTTATATAAATTCTCATACTGAAGCTGAGCAATGTATGTTTTTGCCCTCATTTTTCATACCATTGCTTTCCTTTTAGAGTGCTTCCGTTTCTCTATGTTACAGAAACGGGCATCTACTTTTTGCAAGGAGTAAAGAAGAGGAAAAAAGATTCATGAGATTCTGAAAAGGTAATTAGAAACAAACATAACAATAAGGGTTTAGTTGAATCGGTGCTCATTAATTAAAAACCTTGGTTTGAAGTTTAGGCTTGGGGTTCAAACTCTTGAGACACAAGGTGGCTAACTTTTGATGTGCCAAAAAGAGAAAAAAAAAAAAAGAAAACAAGAGAGAGAAACAAAAGGTGGACATTTGTTTCAATGGAAAGAATCTAGGGGCATGAATGATAGCAAGGCTGAAGTTCTTCTAGAAAAAACTATGAAGAGTACTTGCTTCTTTGGTGTTGCTAAAAGGGATATTTTATTACAAATCAAAACCCCCTTCAAAAGAATCAAAATTCTTCCAGTCCCTCCATGGTGCAGATAAGCTTGAATTGAATCCAGAAAAGGTCAAGTAACTTTCCCTTTCAGGGACCCAAACAACTTTCACAAAACAAAAGGCAGAATGATGAAATAAAGTTCCCTGATTTTTTTTTTCCTCCATTATCTCCTCTCAGCTCTCACCGTCAACTTTCCTTTCTTTTTAAAATCCTTCTTTAAAGTTAGTGCAGTCTCAATAAGAAACAGAAGGATTAAAATGCCAAAAAGAGTTAATTACATTTAAATAACACAGGGAAGGCATGTTAAAGCATATAACATAAAACCAACTGACAATAAGCACAGGGAAGGCATGTTGAAGTTATTTGGGTGACGGGACACCCAAAACCTTATTAATGCAAGATTTTCGCACTTAACCAATGGAAAGACTAAGAAAAGCACAAAATGCCCTTTTCAGCTGATAAAATTATGGATATAAGGATTATGCCCACAAATATATGTATCCATACAAATTTCCTCCTGCGGCCACTTAAGGGACACATCAAAATCTGACCGAAGGTTGTGTTCCTGGTCCATCAGCTAGAAAATGTGTGAAGATATTTTCTTACCAGGAGCAAATAGAGGCCACAACTTGGGTACAAGTTGAGTTGTTATGGGACCCAAATGAAAGACAATAACATGAATCCCTTTTGGCATTTCTCTATTGCTTTTGCTTTCTTTCCTTTTTGCTCTTTTCTTTATGTGAGAAAGCAATTTGCCAGATTCTTTTTCCCATCCCATATGCTTAATTTCATTTTTTTAGGCAATTAAAATAGTAATAAGGGTTTATTTGAGGTCTGCATCATCAAATTCTGGCCATTTGACTGGGTATTGTGCATTTGAGGTCAGTTTAACCATCAAATTCTAGCCAACTTGATATCTATATTAACTTCAAAACCTTATTCCTAATATTGAAGTCAGATGTTCAAATTTTTTTGTCATAACTAGGCATTATACTCTACTAATCATTAAAAAAAGAAATGGAGAGCCATTTTCATAATCATAAACTTATTCTTGAATCATAACCTATTACAACTTATATTTTGAGGTCTTCTTGATAATAGCTCTCAAATATACCCAATGAAAAAGGAATTACTAGGAAGCCAAAAAAGCAATCCTTGCCTAAAAAGTATAGGATTTGAAACAAAGGCAAGGCTTAAATTGTGATGACATCCATCAATTCCTTTCTTTAGAATTGTGCAACTTTTCTTTTCTTGGACAGACAGCTTTTTTTGAACCTAAACCAGGCTGCTAAAAGCCAATGAGCCTGCAAGTCAACAGTATGGCCTGGCTTTCAGGCAGTCTTACTCAACATTTCCTCTCTCGTTATGCCACCATGCATGACAAAATTGAAGGCTAATTAAAATGCCAAACCAAATCTCCGGGGACCACCAAATTTTCATCTCAAAATTGGAATGGGTTCTACGCTTCACTAAAATGTAAAACATACTAAATCACTTATTTTCTAGTAAGTTTGGGAGCTGTCAACGAAGCCTTGTCCTGACGGGGTAGAAGCTCTGGTGCTCTTAGATCCTTAGTTCGTGTGTATCATATGAAAGTTTGGTTCAACTTTATATTGGTTTTATTTAGGTACTGTTTGCTATAACTGTTAGCAAACAATTGATAATTAATAGTTGATATTAAATGATTGATAGGTTTTTTTTTTATCAGCTTAAATGATTGATAGTTGCTATAATTTATAATTCAAACATTCTTACTTATCCAATTAGAGAAAATAAATTTCTGTTGTTCCCTATAGCTAAACCAGATAGCGCCTTAGTTTGTACTTTCATTTAGCAATTAATTTGTAATGTGAATTTGTAATATTATGATCACTATATACTAAATATGAATTGTAACTTATATTCAAGCTAAAGTTTTGAGGCTCATAAAAATAAAGCAAAGAGTTAGGTGTTTTTCAATCTAGATTGCACACTTAAGGACTGAAATAAACATGGAGAATTTCTTTATTAAAGGTATTTTGGTGAATTCATGGCTCTTTTACTACACAAATTGAAAAAAAAAAAAAAAACATTTTTGTAAACCAAACCAGATGGTCTCTCTTTCCATCTATGTGTGTGAGTGTGAAGTCCTAAAATGTAATATTTTGTTTTACACATTATTTAGGTACACGAAATTTTTATTGGAGAAAATGAGATTCCGACCTTATCAAGACATGAAATTATATATATATATATATAAAGGTAGAAGTTTGGCAGAGATCAATAATCTAAAAAGTTTAAGCTAGTGAAAATGATGGATATATATATATATATATAGTCTAATAATCAATCAAGCATTGTGTTTAAGGTATTAAATTTATTTAACTTTATTGCAAAGACTTGCTTCATGCTTTTCTAGTGGCTGAAAATGCAAGTAATCAAGATGAGAATAAAAAACTAATAACGTGTGAGTTGAGTTAGTGAATTCAACGAGGGTTAGGGAAAAAGAGGAATTATATTTTGCATCACTTTATTTTTTTTAGTTTATCTGTTAAGGTGTTTTTAAATTAGTTTGTGCATTTATCGAGACTAATCTTTGCATTACCTAATTATTGTAACTACTATATATTAGGAAATATAAAAAATCTCATATAAATTTTTTATTTGGATGGTTAGGATCTCCTTAAACCAATTTATATGCACATTACAACTAATTCTACATAAAATGATTGAATCAATGAGATTAATCAAGGTTTAACAAAAATTTCTTGAAATAATTAACATGAGAGGGTTATTTTTTTAATGTGGTTGACTTTTGGTAAATCATTTCAACTGATATGAGTCAACCTCCCACTATAACTTATCCTCAATCTAGTGCTTTGAATGTCAATATTCAAAAAGCTGAGATAACATATTTTTAGGTCGAGTGGTGGTATTAAAGATAAAGAACGATTTTTGTCAAAGGCATTGTCTCATATTAGACCCCCTCTTTCCAAACCCCCACGAAAATTGCCAATGTCTCTAGTCAAAAGAGGCCCTTGATTTGGTTTTCAAGTTGAAAAAAAACGAGGTCTTAGAACATTTTCTTTTAAGAAAAAAAAGTCTAAATATTTGTTTCACTCAGTTTCTAAAAAAATAATCTCTTGTGTGAAAGTTAACTTAGAAGTTTATTAAATTTTTTAATAACTGTTTGCATTTTCTAAAATTTTAGAAGTTAAAATTTTAAATTTGTGCTTCTTTAAAAATTAACTTTTTTTATTAATTTAAATTAATGTTTATCAATTAAAAATTTTAAATATTAAGAGAAAAATACTTTAAAATTATATTATTTTAATAAAATATTATAAAAATATTAAAATAATTCCATTCATACATTAAAAATAATTTATTTAATTTTTTAATAAAAAATTATTAAAATAGCATAATATTATAATACTTTCTCTTAATTTTTTTAAAAATTCACATGATACTTTTATCTTATTAATTACTTTTTATAAAACATTTAACACATACAAAATTTCTAAAAAAACCTATGATCTTATTTATTGGTGAAGCCACGCACATGAAAAGTAAAAAAAATAAAAAAGAGAAAAAGTCAAAAAGTAAGCCTACCATTTGACATTAGTTCAGGGCACCTTTTTTTTTTTTTTTTTAAATAGGTAATGGATAGTGCAGGGCACTTTGAGCCAAGAAAATGCACTACCCAAATTCTTTTCTTTGTTTGAGTTTGGAGGGACACGTGTGTTGCATCAAATGGAGGTTCCAATGAGGGTGGATGTATGACCAAAAATATGTTCAGTTAATGTTCCTTTTTGTGACATTAGAATGAAGTGTCTTAAAAAGAAAGGGAAAACATTCGTTGGTGAGGTGAAAAGCAATGTTAAAGAAGAAACCGTGGATGTGAAGTTAAATCCTTTTCCTACATAAAGAAAGAAAAAGATGAAAAGGACTTGTTGCTTTCTTTTCCTTGACGAAGTGGGTTGTGGTGGGGACTCATTTAGAGCACCAACTTTAGAGATAAACATTTATCATTATTTTATTTATTATCAAGTTCAATTAATCTAGATTTTTTTTATATAAAAATACAAGGTCAAATACAGTATATATTTAACCATCTAAGTACAATACATATAAATCAAGAAAGATTTGGAGAAATCAAACATGCGCAAGAGTTGAATTACAATTTTAAATTTGTAGGGGTATAAGCCTCCAAATCCTTAATGAGAGACCTTATTCACAATTAATGTGGACCTTAGAGAAAGGGTAAATGGCTTCCATTACCCCTTGAGATTGAGTTAAACTCTTATTGGACTACAAGACTTTAAAATATATCACTAACAACATCATAGTTAAATTAATATATCAATCAAGTTTGGATGTAAATTATGTTTGAGATTATTGTGTTGTGACATGTTATGTTTATGTCTATGTTTGCATGTATTAATGCTAAAAGCTATTGAGAAGTGTAAAAATCAAAAAGTCCTAACATTTTAAATGTCTTGTGAAATTATTCAAATTCTTATTAAATCTTTTTTATATGTTGATTCATGAAGGGTATTTAAATCTTTTCATTAACATTTAGAATTTTAATTACCAAAATATTTTGATTTCCCTCAATTGATTTCCCTCAATGCCGAAGCTATTTTAGTATTTTAATAAATATTTATCTCATGACAGAAAAAAAAAAAAAAAGTAACTTCATCAATTATGATTAGGGATAACAAAAAGTCAAGACCACCTAACAATTAAAATGTCTAAAATGATACTGAAAAAAACTTAAATACTCAACACACAAGTAAGATTCATGAGAATACGTGAATAATTTTTTAGGCAATCCTAACATTTTAAATGCCAGAATATCTAAATTTTTACTTTTCTCTTATAATTAATTTATTATTATTATTATTATTATTATTAATGAAAATTTTACTAGATATTTTTATAATTATATTAATATTTTTAGTAATATCTTTTAAAGTTTCACATTCTTATTTTATTCTGAAAGCAATTGCTATAATTTTACAGCTTTTGAAAAAGCAATCTCTATAAAATTTACTAAACACAAAGACACCTAAAAGCACCATTTAAAAAAAAAAAAAAGAAAAAGCACTGAGAAAGCTAAACCAGACACGTTTGCTCCAGAATCATTGCACAAAATACTACAAGTCCAATTTCATGTGGTTGTAGAAGAACTTAGGTAATACCATGGCATTCCATATGCTTAGTCGCATGTTCTTATTTTAAACTGAAAGGTATTGTCGTTTACAGTTTTTTGAAAGAGCAATTTCTGTAAAATTTACAAAACACATAAATATCCAAAAGCACGATGTAACTGCAAGAAAGAGCAATTAGAAGCTATACTAAATTGGTGCCTCAAAATCATTGTACAAATATAACTAGTCCATTACATGTAGCCAGAGCTTAATTTTGTTGAACTAGCACTTCAGCAGCTCTACATTGTCAATCCTGAAGCAACTAATGGCTCTTCAAATTCCAATTCAACATTTCCATGCATCAGACTCAGAATCCTGATAAAGCATGATAGATAATATGAAAATACAGCCTAAAAGGCATGTTTATGAAGTGTCTCCACGCATCCTAGACACAAGCATAATCTAGAAGGTGATTAACTTGTAATCTCACAACTTCATGAAGATCCATCTTGAATAAATATGCAATGAAATCAAAGTAACCTACCAATATCCATGGTAACTGCTTTACAACATGCTTCTACAGCTGAGTTGCTTATTGAATTCTACACCCTCCAGAATCCTCTGTGTGACGTACATTGCCATAAGCTGAGAGTTCAATAAGATCCATGTCACGACCTGAAACCAATGGACAATTTCCAATTAGAAAATTTAGTGGTTCATATATTACCTGAAAACTGCTTATCTTCCAAGACTTATAGTACCTGAAACCCGACAATAAGAACTTCTTTGAATAAGATCAGATCTTGATAGCTCAGTCCGATTTCCTTTTGATCGATTGACTGTTGCCTGCAATAAATAAGATAATTCAAAACAACTGCTTTCAGTTCCACTTTTGCACTACGAAAAAAATATTTCATAAGATTCTCAGTGTTTGTACACCACACCATTAATTTAAAATGATTCTGAAGCCATGGATATAATCGAGGACCATTAATGAAGTTCAAATCAAGACAAAGGGAACCACTATTAACCACAGTCAACAATGTATCCTTGGACAGATGCTAGAAGACCAATTGTCATGTTCTCTTGCAAAGGAAACTTATGTCATGCTGTTAATAATGCACATTGTAATCATGGAGTAAAAATTTCCAATCCGTTGCATGGCAGGAACAAAATGAAAAAACACTATCAAATCACTGAAGTATCTGGCAATGGCCAAGGAACAAACAAATAATCCGGTTATGGAAACATGTGGGGTTAAACAGCAATCAAGGAAGGATATATCACACCCTGTAGAAACTAAAATTGGTGGAAGTGCTGGTGAAAGAGATAGAAGAGAAGCTACATGATGTTTTGTGGAGAAATATGGCATGCATCAACTCGTGCATTATATGAGCCTGATAAACCACAATACATGAAACTATTACTTGTATTAGACTAGTGCTCTTAAATGATAAAATGAACAAGGAAATTAGATAGACAAGTCTTCACAGCTTGCATAAAATATTAGCAGAGTACAGAAGAATCAAAAGAGAGTTCAAAAAGACAAAAGCAAGTTCTAGATTCCTAACCCTCACACCTGTAAAACCTGGCAATTTTCCAGTGTGCTTTTGCCTCCCTGAAATAAAGAAAACAGTGGAATCAGGGATCAAGCAATTTAGAGCAAAGATAAGAGGTATTGCTTCCTTTTAAAAGCACATAGAGCACATAGAGACTAAACTAAATGGTAAATAAGCAACTGAGCTTGCAGCTCAATTGGTAAGGTGCATGTTTCCCCATTATTATTATTTATTTATTATTGATAAGTTATCTCTACACCCCAAAAGGAAAAAAAGTAATAAAAAAAGAGATTAAAATAAATTCAATTCAAAAGATATTAGGGAACTTGAACATTACTTAGGACTAGGCTGAAAGCAATGTGTGTGTTTTTTAATGGAAAACAGAAATATGTAACTATGCAGACTTTAGTCAAACATACAACCCAAATAGATCACACATAATTGGGAAAACAAATGAGATTCTATAGTGATGAGTCAATGAAGGGCAACAAAGAATTAAAAAAACCCCTCAATCTTGACCAATCCTATGCACTGCAGATATATTATGTTCAATCAAACAAAAGGGAGATATTAAAGTTCGTCTGACATATCTTAAAATTTTAATAGAATTATCCACAGAGAGAGAGAGAGAGAGAGAGAGAGAGAGAGAGAGAGAGAGAGAGAGAGATAACTTCGCCACAAAACTGGAATGCAGGAGAATGGGAAATATGAATGGAAATGTAAACCTAAATAATCATGCTATAACTAGAGGTAATAAAAGAATTGATAGATTACCAGTTATTACATCAGAGTGAAGTTGATGAAGCTACTGTTGATATACAATTATACATTATTGGCAACCAAACAGAATTCAAAATTGTAACTTCCCTCAGTTACCAAATGCTGATTATTTCTCCAGAGAAAAAGTAACACAACACATCTAGTCAATAGTAAAACCAAATCATTAAGAATCCAAACACAGCTTTGTTGACAGTAGCTGGAAAGTGCAATCCCTGTATGTGATCCTCTTCAAACGTTAAATCCTCCACCAAAATGCATAACTGAAAATTAGCTTTCATGTCTTACAATTTAAAAAGGCTAGGAAGGTCCTCTACTAGCAACAAAAATCATTTTTTACTTTATGCAAAAGTTTAAAATTTTAAAAGTTTTGCTCTTTCCACTGGCATCTTGAGGAATCAACTCTCTGCCATCTTACTTCACAGGCACACCATAACTCCTACATTTAACTTTGCTCAAATATATCAGGGTGTGGACCGTTCTTCAATTCTGAGTTGTTTCTTATTATTCTTAATTTCCACCCAGCACGCCATATGTCATGCCAACTCATTCTCAAATTAACAGAACTAATATTTTCAACCTCCAATATTTTAGAATTGCATCTTAAACTTCAATTTTCGCTACATAAACAAAATTTTAGAATAAAATATGTTGACCAGCCAATAGAAAAACATCAACATGGGCGTGGTCAGAACTTAATTGCAACTCCACCCTCCAAGTGCATAGAATCAGCATGGAATCTAAAGTCTGGCATTTGTCAAGCAGAACCATAGCATTTTCCTAGCAAATGGAAACTTATGCAACTGATAAACATGAAATGCCATTGTTGACTCTTTCTGGCTGTCACCATTGTAGTCTTATAAAAGAAAGAATAGGTAGCAGTTTACTCTCTGTTAAGTAATGGGGTTCAAAATCAACTTAATTCTTGCACTTGCTTCTATATCCTTCTTGTAAATAATAAATTTAGACCTTTTATGGCAAAGACAATTTCTTAATTTGTCCATACTTGACATATGTGAAGTTACATGGTACTCGGATTGAAAGGTACAGAACAAACACAACCATCAAAAACCAACACAAACCCACTTCATAGAAACCTCCACAACAGATAAAAACGAGAAAACTTACATTACATAAAACGGAGAGAAAGAAAAGGTTATACCTTTGAATAAGGCACGATGTGGTCGTAATCATGGCACAAGCACCCAGAGCAGCCAACGAGCTTCTTGAAGACAATGTTACCAACGGCATCTCTCCTCCAGCGATCTGGGTCCCGGCCCTTGACCTTCTCTGCCTTTTCCCAGCATTGCTGCTTGACGCTGTAGGGAAAGCTCCTGGGGTTAGGGGTTAATGTGGCGTAATCCGGTGAAATTTGGAGGTCTTGGAAGAGAGAGACGGTGGAAGCTTCTTGCTCCGTCACGAGTTCATCGTCAAGAAGGGAGGCTGAGGGAGTAACCCTAGATGGGCGGGAGCGAGTTGGAGAGGATGGGCGAGGCCTTCTCTTGGGAGAATCCTTGCGTCCTCGCATTTTCTTCTTACTGGGGTTTTGGACTTAATTTTGGCAGATAAGTTAGGATTTTAGGATCGAGGGCTCTGAACTGCGGACAGAACCGAGCCATTTCGGTAAATCCGAATTATCTGACTCTTTTGAACTAATTCAGTAATTAAAAAAAAAATGCTGTTTCAGTTTCAATAATAAAATATTTACTATTGAATTAAATTTACTTATTTGTAATAGTACTAAAATTAATGTCAATTTTTATACTTTTTTATATATTGGTGTTCTTAACTTATTCCTTTAAAAACCTTTCAAATAATTGAATAACAAAAATAGAAATATGTTTTTCGGTACATACCCCATTTTTGGGCTGTTTGAGTACTAAAATTATCAAAACACTTTTCATAAAACTCTTTTTTATATTTATTTATTAATTAATGGTATTTTGATTGTTTCAGTATCCAAATTACACAAAAAAGTATAGTCCACATTGAAAAATACATTTCTATTACAAAAGTTTTATAATAAAAAACTTACATAAGTTACGTGGCCCTTGGGGCCAAGTGACTTTGGGTCACATTCTGGTGCACCCCCTTTTTCCCTTGGGTGGGTTCGAACCCGCCCATGACACATTGTTCAAAAAACAAAAAAAAACTTACACAAGTTGAGGAAGGCCTCTAGAGTATCTAGCTTAGCTAAATTGTTACTATAAAAGTACTTCCTCAACTGTATGGTTAAAGTCTGTAATGTCACTCCCCTTGTTCCATAAGGGTGCCAATCGGTTAGTTTGTCTTATAAAAACCCATGAGGACTTCAATTAGTTAGCTTGTCCCATAAAAAACCTTACATAAGTTTTGAAATTGCTTGTGTTTTGTTTGTGATTATTTCAAATATTAATTTTGAAAACTTACATAAGTTTTGGATTGTCTCTAAGGTTGAGGGTTTGTTTCTTATCCAATGATTTATGTTTGTTTAGATAAACATTAATAAAGAAAAAGAAAGAGAACAAAAGGAAGGAGAAGTGAAGGGAAAGAAAAAATTGATCTTAACTTTGTTTGGATAAATAAGAGTGGAGGAGAAGAAAAGATAATATTTTTATTTAATTAAATCATTTAAAGAAAAATAAAATAAAATAAAATAATAAAAGTTCATTAATTAAAAATAATTGATATAAAATATTTTTATATATTTATTTAAAAAAATTAAATATAAAATGCTAATTCCTCCCAATCCCTTTGATTTGGAAGGATTGAAAATAGAGGAGTTTCATCTCCTTCCATCTCCATTAAAATCAATAACTCAAATACAAAATACAAAATACAAAATACAAAAAAAAAAAAAAAAAAAAAAAATCTCTTCCTCCCACTCCTTCCTTTCCCCTCTAACTTTCCCAATTCAAACAATGGCTTAAGTTGTGAAGTTTATACTACAAATCACATTTTTGTAGTAAAACTCAATAAAAAAAAAAATTAGGGCCACTTTGAAAAGTTTAAGAGCTTAATTAATTATTTTTAAAACGTTCAAGGGCTTAATTAATTATGAATTTATTAGAACTAGCAAAACCCCAAACACAGAAAATGAGAGGAAGAAGGAAACAAAATTTTAATTCTATTTAACAGTTAATTTTTTATGGAACAAAAAGCCTCCACCTTCACTCTCTTTCAACACCTCCAAATTTTATAGTATTGCTCTTACTTAAAACCTAATTCTCAGGAGCTTTCTATACAGTGGCAATGGTGGGACAAGCTCAAGGGGTGGCACCTAGAATGTTGGAGGTGAGACGCATTAGGTTACATCGTCTTTAAGTAGCTCATCAACTGCTCAGAATGCTTGTGCCATGATTATCGTCATTTGATGCCTCATTTCAAGGTATAATTTGTTTGTTTTGTTCAAGTGTTCTATTTTTGAATTGTGCTTGTACTAATGTTTTTTTTATTAAATTTTCATTAAGTCTCTCACATTGTTGTTTATTTGCCTAGTTTCATTGTTATCATATGCATTTTAAGTGAAAATGGTATTGCAATTAAGTACTAAAATATTAATTAGTGTTGATTGCCTTTCTTCCATTTGTTTTTAAGCAAAATGTTGTATGAAGTTTTTCAATTGGTGTCTGACATTTGAGTTGAAAAGTGGAAAATTATGTAACATTACAAAAGTAAATGAATTAAATGTTAAGTATTGAAGTGCCGTAGGTGGCATGGATTAAGGACTATTTGGAGGCTACAATATTTTTATAGCCTAGGTCAATGGACAAAAATTATTTGTGCCTTAAAATTCTCGAAAATCATCCTTTTAGGTGTGAAACTTAAAACCTTTTTAGAAAAATAATGGCTTTGGTTGCAAATCAACAACTTTTCAAGCCTTTTAAAGGATTCAAGGCTCTTTTTGTCAAGCTTTCTACTCATGTTTGATTATTTAACATTTGAAGAGAATCACATGAACATTTGAAGAGAATTGCATACTTGAAATGCATTTTCTAACTATGTTCTTTCCATATATTCCTTGACTAATTGCATTGAAAAAACAAATGCGGATTTGTCTTTAGCTCACTCTTACACAACCTGAGAATCATCCAAGGTAGAAGTCCATTGTCTTTGTCAAGTTTTAGTATTAAGTCTATTGATAATAGCTAACTAAATCACAAAACCATGTTTGTAGATTATGTCAACAAACCAAACTAGTTTATAAAGAAGCTATCTGCTATACCTTTCTCCAAGCCAATGCCAAATCATACTTGTTTTAAAGACACTAGATGTCGTAGGTATCCATAATATTGAGTCTTGCGTCCCCTCTCTAGGATCTAACTTCTAAAAGATATCAATTTGCACTTGCACATGTTGATGTGATCTTATAAGGCCCAACACCGAAAGTTATCATTTATTTCAATTGGTAATTTGGCTTGAAGGGTATGCCAACATCTTTAACAACCTACCATCAGACATTTTCATTAATGGCCTAGATGGCTGTCAGTTGTAACGTCAAATATAGATGTTAGTGCCATCATTAAGGATGTGTTGTATGAGTTTCCAAACTTGTTATTTGAGATTGAGTAGTTTCCTCCCACCCCTAAAATGCATAAGAAGGAATATTAATAATCCAAAAGCATATACCCTTTAGTAGATAACTCACCCAGGCAACCCATAAAAAACCTGCATTTGAAATCACTAACCTATGAATCTTAGTGCATAGATTTTATTCCACGATACCAAGTTCTTAAGGCCTAGCCTACATTCCTATTTTGGTGTGCATGTAACTTTTCAAGTCACCTTGGCACCATTGGCATTATCTAAGTTTAAGGTGGTTTGAAAAAGTAAATGTTATTTAAGTGACCTACATTCTGTGCTGTTAAACATTTCAAGTAAAGATTGATTGGTGGATATGTAGTTTTTAGAGATGTTTTTGGAATTGCAAGAGTAGATGTGTCTATTGACGGTGGCAAAACTTGAATTGAAGCCTTAAGATTTCAAAAACTTAGTGTCCCTAGATGTTCATAATGAAAAGTGAGCATGGATGCCTTTTGAAACCATAGTTGGTATCAAAATTGGTATGCTGATTGTTTCGAAAGTGTATATTACTTGTCATTTCATTTTTAAAAGACTTGCTAAGTATGGCCTAATTAGCATCCTTCCATTATTTGATCCACAAATTTGACACTTACGATATGTAGAAAGTTATATTATGAAACAATTTCTTTAATCTTTTAAACAAAATATCTCTTTGGTAGTTTTGAAGACTTTAAGTTTTAAATTTTTTAAGTTAGTTTAATAAAATTTTGAGGATTAAATACTTAAACCTACAAAAGCCCCTAACCCAAACCAACAAAAAACCTTAATCCAACCATTGAGAAGACTTTTTCTCAAGCTTAGTTGATCAAATTGATTGATTATGAGAAATTTACCTTCCACTACATTTCCATGCTTATTTTTTTGCATTTATGATGAGGTATCTCATGCATTTTTAATTGATGAGTAGGTGGATACAATAGCAAATGTTTAACTTGACAAGGTGGATGAATGGAGGACACTTGGAACTTGAATGGAATACTAAACACTTCATGGTACAAGGTTCAAGTTCAATTGGGTCACCAAATATATAGATGAAACTTAATGAGTGGTTGATTGACTCAAGAAGTAACTTGAAACTATTCTTGCAAAGGTAGTACCTATGCATTAGGATGCTCTATGCCACTTGCCTTGGGTAGTAAGGCAATCCCACTCTATCTTTATTTTTCAGCCTTTTTTAAAAAAAAAATGAAAATTGAATCTCCCCATTTTATTTCAAATATTTTAACAAATAAAGAACAGACAATATTGGTTGGTTCTCAAAGGTCAACAAAAAGCAAAAAATGTCAAATGCCAATCATTCAAGGTTTTTTATCACTTCAATTTATCTTCTTCATATTAATTAATTGATTTTGGTTAAGTTGATTCTAGAATTTTAGACTTTTAAATGATTTTTTCCCCAACTTTTAAGAATTATTTAGATTTTTTCTTTTTAAAAGTGACACACAAATCGCCAAGGTAGTCTAAACGTCACTTACGCTATGGGCAGAGGCTTGCCACCTAAAGTGGCTAGTGCCTTTAGCAACACTGCTTGAAACATGTGAGTGGCTTTTGTTACCATTTGTTTTGCAAAAATAATACGCTCAACTTAATATTACTATAGTGACTTTTTGACAAAGCATTTAAATGAGGCTAAAAAATCATCCTTATCAATTTTAAATTTGGTTAATATCCTTGAGTTAAATCTTCAATTTTGTATTTGTATGTATTCAAGTTTTTTCTTTGCCAAAACCCAAAATTAATCTTTTTTTTTTTTTGGGAAATTTAATTGGCAATTAGTGGTATATTTCTTGCTATTTTGTAAAAGAGGATTGTTGTAAGAATGAATATATTCAATAGAAACAATTGGAGAAGAAGAGATTATTCTGCACATTGTTTAATGTAGAGATAAGATGTTTAAAAAAGATGCTCTATTATGTATCATTGTCATTGCAAATAAAACAAAAAGGTAAGTGAACTAGAAAAATACCATGTCAAGATTAGGATGAGAAAAATGATAAATACTAATTTGGTCTCTC